TTGGGATTAAAGTGCTTCATTAACAACAGTATTCTAAAGGTTTAAAACGCTTCTTTAGTAACAGTAACCTTGGGATTAAAGTGCTTCATTAACAACAGTATTCTAAAGGTTTAAAACGCTTCTTTAGTAACAGTAACCTTGGGATTAAAGTGCCACATTAGCAACAGTAATCTTGAGGTTTAAAGCTCTTCATTAATAACAGTAACCTTGGGATTAAAGATGGTGTGGTTTAAAATTCTTCAGTAGTAACAGTAATTTCAACGCAGAGAAACGTGTTGTCTAATTTCATTTACAAAGCAGGCCATTTAGTTGCTATTGTATTCTTTTTCATTTAACGTCTATTTGAAAGTATTGTGCGACAGCGGTCTGGAAAGAGATGAAGTTATCTGGAAGGAAAAGTAAACCAGCTAAAATGAAAGCAGTTAAAAACTTTGTTAATATAAATATCGTTTCACACAAACCTACTTTCACATTTCAAACGTATGTTAGGTATATATATATATATATGGTTAACTTCATAATCACTAAAGAAAGTCAGTGATGAAACAAAACCCGTAAAAATAGAGTTACAAATATAAAAAAAGTTCTATCATATAACGAAGCGTTAACTTGCGAAATTTAACATTTCAGTTTATTTCTGTATCTGTGAGTGTTACATAAACATTCTCACCACTAGGCACCCACTATAGAGAGTAAGTTCCAACAAATACATTAATGTTTTATAAGCACAGGTTTTCTTCACAGATTTTGGTTCACCTTTTTTTTTATCAGTTCAGTTTCAGAGACAAAATATGGGATTCGAACGAAGATAAGGCCGCTGTTTAAATCAAATTTGAAACAGTATTTAGGAACAATTTTAAACATTATAACATTACTCCAAATTAAAACCAGTATCACATTACCCTAAATTTAAACCAGTATCACATTACTCTGAAACTTTAGAGATAAATAGTGGCACTTTAGAGTGGAAAAATGTGACACTTTTGTTTTATATGATCGTTGATTTTCACTGAGAAGGAATAATCAGATATACAGAAAACTACTCACCGAATACAACAATTCAAGACATTCGGTGTAATTGGTCCAGTTTCCCCATAGCCAGTTTCCATCTTCATTACATTTTCTATAGGCATTACCAACTGCAAAACGATGAAAAAATAAGGTAACAAAGCTTATCATTGCAGATACAGAGGGTGTTTTTATGTGTGCGTATATGTGTTAAATTGTTCTACAAAATACACATTATTCGTCATATATTAGATTGTAGTATTGGAAGTATGAGTTCTAAGAACTTGTGAGTGACAGTAAAGAAGAATATGTTATAACATATCAACTACACTGCCGATGCGGACTTTCGCACAATACCACAATGTTCACGGATCATCCTCTTCTTCCAGTGTCTGAATATATTCGATGAAGAAAAACATAAAAGGCCGTGATAATCATTCAAACCAGCCCTTTACTTAGATACCAATCGATAATTGAGTATTCCTACCAATAGTGGAATTTTAAAAACTGCTAGATTGATGCACCAGTGCTAAACACTCAAGGAAGACTAAGAGCTGTTTGTACGTTATACACGATTTAACAGTGGATTCATTTATGCGGTTACTTACACTAAGCTTTGCAGTTGAAGTCTCCTAGTTTAAATCCTGTAACTTTCAAACAGTACTTCCCCTCGTTTCCTTAATATTCTCCGACAGTTGCCCCACCCACTCCTCCAGGCAGATTTACAAAGTCCACCAGAAAAGCAAAACGAAATATACACATTCTACCCCCCCCCCAATCTATTCTCATTAACAGTTTAATTATTGCACCTGATTACAAATGATAAACTGGTGCTATTCTTCAGTTGATGCTTATTTTAAAATAATATCTATTTGAGACACGAGATAGCAGGACATTCGTATATAATAAATGTTCTTTCGAGGAATTATAACGCGAGATTGTAACACTGAAGTTCCACTGAAACAGCATTGTAACAGATGTTCACGAAAATTTAGGGCATTTACGAAACATGAAAAATTATTTCAATGAACTAAATGCAACAAACATTGCTAAAGAAAATAAAACAAGAGTTTTTCGAAAAAAGTTTTTGAATTTATCTGCTTATTATATTTGTGTAGTTTTTAAAGAAACAAAAACGCGGATATGTTAGAATAGTGTCATAGTGGGTCTCAACAACAAGAACATTGTTTACGAAAGTTGGTCCAGTTCTAGCTGTCCAATTTTTCCTCAATTCCTTTTAGCCTGGATGGAAGAGGAGGTAGGTCGAATGAAAGTACCTATTTTTTTACACATTATCCATTACCACGATGTGATAACTGTGTAATAACTAGGTTAGAAGCTGGATGGATGGAAGAGGAGGTGGGTCAAATGAAAGTACCTATTTTTATACACACTATCCATTACCACGATGTGATAACTGTGTAATAACTAGGTTAGAGGCTGGAGGTTGACCAGATGTCATCGCTTTATCTTATTTTGCCACTAGATAGAATGGCTATCTTTAGAATGTCACCTCCATTCGTTAAAAAGTAGGGCTTTGAAACAGCTTGGGACAATGGTTATTGTGTTAATAGTTGGAGACAAATAGAAAGCGGGAACTGAAGACAAAGGATCCATCCAGTTCGCGATCGCAGCAAATTCTGGTTACTGTATCGTTAACATTATTGTTGTTGTTTCGTGGAATTTCGCGCAAAATTAGTTGAGAGCCATCTGCGCTAGCTAGAGACTAGAGAAAAGGCAGGTAGTCGATACCACTGACTCGTTGGCTATTATGATCGAAAAGTGGGATTTGGCTGTCACTCTTATAATGCACCCACGGCCCCAAAATACGGAGCACGAAAAGTTTTTTCAGTAACTTTGCTGTTGTTCGAGGCTTCGGAATTATAATAATCAAGGCTCTAGGAGTTTCAAGAATGTAATGGGTGCATGTTGTTTTGAATATCCAAAGTCAAAATGCTGAAATTAGGTGTATTACAAAAACTCGAGTTGGGACATTGTTGAGTTGAGAAGAAAATACATGCAAGTCTGTTTTCTCCGAATCTAAACTAAAATGTGTCTTTTTTATTTGAATTCTCATAGTAAATCTGTATTATATAGAAAAACTCTCTCCTCACTTGTACACATCACATTATTGTCAAAAGAAAGTAACAAACGGTAACGTTTGTTACTTGTCAAAACGACCAGGAAGCAGTATCGTGTACCACTGGCATATGAACATTGACCAATCTGTTTTAGAACATATTCATAATTATCAACACAGTATTTGTCATAATAATTTTTTTTTGCCGGGTAATTTTAGACACACCATGGCTATCGCTGCGCATAGCTATCTCAAATTTTGAACTGAGTAGATTAGATGAAAAGTAGCTACGCAACAGCTCCATCCACCAACTTTTGGGCTACTCCTGTGTGACCGAATAATGAGATTTGGCCGACACTCTTATATAGCGGACTCACGGCTCCAAAGTGCGGAGCACGTTTATTGTGGCAACAGGAAGCGAGCCATGAATCCTCGGATCCATTGTCCGGGCACACTGACCACTAAGCTTCGTACGGCCCATCAGAATTATGTTAATTTCACAAGTTTCCTTTCAGATATATTAGATTCTAAGAAAGTTTCGGAAACACTGTATCGTGCTTTCATCCTCTTGACAACTAGCAAATTGTGGAAGCTTAACATTTAGTTAACTACTACGTTTCTGTACACAGCTACCTGAAGGCCCCAGGGAGACATTAGGTTCTGTGACGGAATACCTCGGGATAACACAAAGCTCTATGACTGAAGACCCCAAGATGACACAAAATTCTATGACCGAAAACCCCGAGATGACACAGAGTTTTGTGACTGAATACCTCGAGATGACACAAAGTTATGTGACTGAATCCGTGGAAGTGAGAGGCTACAGCAAAACATTAAAAAAAAAAGTTTAATCTTCGGATGCTTCCGAGTTTATATATTCCTTCATCAGCGGCTTGTAGTAACATACACCAAGAACCTGTAATGTATTTGTTTTAAAAACAAACACACAATACAGTGTGAAAATACAAACATAAAAATGGATAGAAAAAAAGAAAATACAACACACTCTCGAAACAAGTACATTTCATGTTTCATAATGAAATGTAATATAAAACAATAATTTGGCGGTGCGGCGGTTGACACATTCCCAGAGATGAAAAGCAGTTGGTCTGAAGTTGTTAGGTCAATGAGGCTATTTTGAAACTTGGTGCATAATTGAGTAATAAAGAAGACATGCGGAGTTAAAGGATTAATATCCCTACCATATAATATTTCATATCCAAGGCCTATCTCAGCCTATTTTAATTATCCAATAATATGATGTTTAAAAAAAACCCATTAATTACCCATTATCTTTATTATTTGCTAAGAATATTTCAGAGCTCCACAATGACAGTAAAAGAGTTAGGTCCCATACAAGTCTTCACAGAACTAGTTTCGTTATGTATAACGAGAGTAGTTGATTTTATGCTGCAGTACATCATCTCCACCAGCCCCAGATGGCTCAACGATACCTATGAGGGCTCATAACACTAAACACCAGGTTTCGATACCTGCGGTAGGCATAGCACATTGTGTAGCTTTGGGCTTAACAACAAACAAACACTGCCCATTTCCGACTCAAATCTCAAACCTTGTTGGGAGAAACCTGTTGTTCAACTGTTCTTAGAGAAAGTTCATTCCCAGCTGTGGATACACTTTACATGATGGGTATGCATATACTACAAAGTTATTTTCGCTGTTCATATGTATACATAATGATTGTTTTTATTATAAAAATATATATATAGATTGTTTTTTGGAACATAGACTTAATTTTATCAGTTGATGCACTTTAATTTACCCTTACCTATTTTTTGTTCTGATGGCTTTAGATTAACATCAGCTGATGCAAATATTTCAGCACAAGATTTTATCACAATCTGTCCTGCAGGAGTCTCAGGCCAGCAGTAAACAGAATCCCAGATGGCGCTACAGCGAACACCTGAAATTATCAAACACATAATTTGGTTTCTATAAGGGAAGATTAAAAGCTCGTTATTTTATTTCATTAGAATATTTACGAATTGTTATTCATCATCAAATGCAATTATTTAATGAATATATATATATTCTAATTCCTGGTATTACCATTTTGTCATTTTTTTTCTATCGTACTAGTTTGAGTAAGCTAACGATAATAATAGGTTTCTTTTTTGTGAGTGTAAAACACTTAATACACCATTTCGATTAACGATAATATTGTGAGAAGTTCGAAACTTTCGTGTATTAAGTGTAATCGTTGATGTAACCATAAATCTAATTAGGTCGTAGTCATGGGCGCCCGCAGGAAAGGGCAAGAGGGGGCAGTTGCCCCCTACATTTCACAAAAAAGTGCACGTATTAGGATGTAAACTTAAACATCATAGTTAAACTAAATATTCTTAGTAATTTTTATTAAATCTGTAAATTTGTGTTTGCATTTAAACACACATAACACATATTATTTTAATCTGTTGACTTACACTGTAAAAGCTGATCCTCTACATACATGTTTTGTCCCCCCCCCCCAAATAAAAATATTTCTGTGGGCGCATATGTCGCAGTGATTACTGATACTATACAGAGAAACAAAATACATCAATAAATACCAAATCTAAGTATGCGATAATTGGTCAATCCAGGAAATTCTTCGTAATAACATTAACAAACGTATCGCTCCAAAATTACAATCAGCATTTGATCCTATCTCCTCAACTATCGGCATGTTGTCTTTCCAGCAAAACAAGTCCCGATAAATAAAGTTGTTAACCTTAAAAATTACTTTCTGTCTTTAAAAGTTTAAGTCCCTGGTGTGTTATATCTTTACACTTTACTCCTTTTTTTTTTACTTCTCGGAAATTCTCAAAGTACAGAGGTATTATGCCAGTCGGAGACATCAATAAGCGGCTATAATGCTTGTTTACGATACAAAGAAGAAGAGCGCCCCCCGAAAAGATGTCCTCCTGATGGGACAGCGGTGAATTTGCACAACTACAACTACAAATCCGAGGTTCGACACAGCAGATAGCCCAATCTGGCTTTGCTCTACAGAAACAAACAAACAAAACAAACAAAACAAAAAAGGTTGTATAATGTGTAATATGCAGTTGTGTCTATAGTATTATTTTAGTCATTTGAATTAATTATTAATATAAATCAAGTATATATAATTTTTGATAGCTGTTTTCTGTGTATTGTAAGTATGTCTACCTTATCAACTAACATAAGAATAAATCAAATATGTATTTTTCCCACATATGTAACCCACAATAACGTTAAGGTGGAGTAACTTCCCAAAACAAATTGTACTTCATCACCCTTATGTGGTGACTGACTTTGTCAAGTGCAAACAAAACGCATAATTGAAACTTTCTTAAACGGTGATAATAGTCTCTTTATCACTCTCTGAAACCCCCCAGTGGCACAGCGGTATGTCTGCGGACTTACAACGCTACAAACTGAGTTTCGATACCCGTGGTGGGCAAATCATAGATAGCCCATTGTGTAGCTTTGTGCTTAACTTAAAAAAAAGCACAAAAAAACCTGTACACAGCGTGGTCGACAGGTAAA